TATATATATATATATATATATATATATATATATAATAGATATTTAAAATTTTATTGATGATCTTTTTAATATATGATTGTCAATTTTTGTCAAAAATTCTCACATTTTTTATAAATATAAATTTGCCGAAAATATTCTATCAGTAATATAACTTTCCTACGAAATTTTTTTCCATCTGAAATATAAATTTTTTGACAAATTTATATCTATTAAAAATTACCGACATATATATCCGTTGGAAATATAAATTTTTCGACAGATTTGTATCCGTCGAAAATTATCCGTCGGTAATATAACTTTTCCTACGAATTTTTTTTTCTTCGATAAAATCTGTCGAAAATATAAATTTTCCTACAGATTTGTATCCGTCAACAATTATCCATCGGTAATTTGCATTTTTCTTGTAGTGAATTGTGTAATCGTATTGTATTCAATCTCAAATACAAAACTAAGGTTCACTCATAGTCAATCAATATTTCTTACAACCATAATAAAACACTATATAATTATGTTTAGTTAAAAAAAATTATATAAAATCAACAATAAAATATACAAATATAATTAATCATGCCAACACAATAAAAATTAAATTAACAATAATTAACTTATTCATTTAATTATTACTAACTTATAGTATAATAGAAATATATTTTAATTAAAATTTTTAATTTCTATCTTCTAAATTGACCAATTTCATTAATCTAATAATTTGTATTCAATTATACTAACATAAATTTACTATCTTATAATAAAGGTATAAAATTATGGGCACCTAAAAGATATTTAAATTAACATTCAATATTGTATAGATACCTAACATATTTTTTTAATTTTTAATTTATATCACATTTAATTTAAAATATATTATATAAATTGTCTAATGTAGAATTTAATAAATTTTATGTTTCAACTAATTTTGTCAACTATCTAAATTGATTAATAATGTTGTCAACTACAACATTATGCATGTCGTAAAGGAATCACTCATACCCTTTATCTAATTAAGGTTCAAATCAGTTCTCTATGTGCATACAAAACTCATACACAAATTTCATAAAAATAGGTAATGAGGAAACTCAAAATGAGCAAATAGGTAATGACGAAACATGTAATGAACAAACTCACATTCAAAATAATATGTTTATTATATATCCACCACAAATCCTAAAAACAATAGGAGAAGGAAAAGTCAAGCTTCAAACCTAAGAGCATGCATGAAGGAGAATTGAAGAAGTTCGTCGGACTAAAGGAGAATTGTAGGAGTACTGGTCGTTGGAACGTTTTGGTTGTGGTGGTCGTCGAAACAAGTGGATAGTGTACACAAAGGAGTCGCCAAAAATCGCCTCTCACATTTATTGAGAAAAGAATGAAATAGTGGAGCACGAATTGGATTCCTACTCTCATTGTGAGTAATAACAAGACATTCTATATGACGGGTTACGATTTAGCCATCAAAAGATGATTCTTTTTATAATGAGTAAGTCAACACCCGTCATAAAAAGATTGAAATTCAAGGTTGACCAACACAATCTATGATGTGTTGATGTACCTATCATACAAAGAATATTATATGAAGTCAACATTTGTTATAAAATATTTTAACATATTTATAAGTATGTTACTGTATTACTTTTTATGTCGTGTGGATAATACCCAACATAAAAATTACGTCAAGAAATATTCTTTTATACTAACGAGCTTCTCAAATAACGCTTGACTTACAGTGTGTTTGCATTCGAGTTGTGACGTGAATTTTCACGTTTACCTTAAAGCAAAAAATATTAACTTCCACGTAAAATTCACATCTGACATGGAGAGAGAAGAAAAAATAGCGTTAAAAAATGAATACCATACACGTACTTAATATCTAATAAGAAATCAGAAAGCACATCCACCATCCTTATGTTCCAATTTGAACACCATGCGAAATTTCCTAAATAGTACATGGGACTTACACTTCTTTCCGTTGAGGGAGGGTAATAAATTGTTTACTAAATATGGGGCCAGTCTCTTGTATCATTTTATCTCCATACGTGCTCTTGTCCAAACACATGAGCCCATTGCTTAGGGCGGACGCACAAGAGTTAGGAGATTGTTTTCATTAGAATCTACCTCCTGTAATTTATTTTCCTGCTTATAAAAAAAATACAATGTACACAATTAAACTAAAAATTTATATATATGCAAAAGTAGTTTTTAATTTTATCCATAATTATTATGTCTATAAGAACAAAACACATGTAGGTATAGACAATTTATCTTATGATGAAATATTAAATAATAAAATATATATGCTTTATTTATTAAATTTTATTACATAATTTATTATTTATTAATTTTAAACTAGATTTAACTTTAAATAAATATTTTAAAATATAATTAAATCATGCAATAATAGTATTATAAATAATACGGTGTTTATATTATAACTCAATAAGTTAAATAATTTATTGATTTAAGTAATAAATTTGATCATGAGTGGTGTTATTTCTAATACTCATGGGCATAATTTTAAAAACCAGACCGGTCATCAAACCGGCTAAGATATTGAGTTCGTGAGTTAAAGGTTGAACCCGTAGGTTATTAATTGAACCACATGACCCGATTTTTATTAATTTGTTTTAAAAAAATATTCATGTTGAATATATTTTATACTTATAAATTTTAATAAATTCATATCCTATTTTAAATTTCAATTTTCAATTTATTTAAAATTATTTTTATTTTTATTTTGTATAAAGAAATACATAAACAAAATTACATGTTAAACTATATATTAATACAAATTAAAAATATAAATAATATGTACATATATAATATGCTTGCAATTGATATCACAAAATAATATATGTAATATCTACATAGATATTATATTATTAAATATATAATTTAAAATAAATAATTTACTATATAAATTATTTAAGTTGTATATATCACAAACAAATATATTAGAATAAATAGTCATTGTTATGTTTAATAAGACTCTTTGCTGTTGTATTAAAAGATTCAATTCTCGTTGTTATTTTTGTTGTTTGTGGTCCTTTAAAAATATATTAAAAAATTATGATTGAACCGGTTTGACCCACCGGTTCATTGGTTCAATTGAAAAATTGACTGGTTTAATCCAATTTAAAATGGGTCGAATGCATGACCAATCTAACTTAAGGTTCGGACTAGCTGGACCACTGGTTCTCGGTTCAACTGGTCCGATCCGGTTTTTAAAACACTGGACCAAATTTAGCCTTTATTTTATTACTCACTAACATTAACACGTCTGTATTTTGAAACAAAATATTATTTGAAACGTAATTAAATAAATAATAGAAAAAAAAGGTCCAATGAAAAGGAAAATGAGACCCCAAACATAAACAAAAGTATGAGCCGTCACATAAAATGACTAGATGTTTTCTTGATCGAAGGAGAAGCTAATAAATTAGTGTGCAAAACCTAAGCATTTTCCTCAAAATAACCAATTACAAATTTGCAAACTAGGTTGCACCTCGTGTTTCCCTGTATCTAGTTGGTAAAGGCCCTAATTTACCTATCTAACGCACTTCGTTTTCTTTCCAATGTAATTCATTTCATCAATTGTTGCTGTTACCTGGGTTGCGACCAAGATGAATGCAAACCAAACGATCTTCTCTTCATACACGTTCATGTTTGCTGAACCTGGAAAGAGACATGAGATTTACAACGTTTGCATGGATCAGCCAATGAAGATAATTTCGAATGGCATTTGGACTCACCATCTTGGCGCAATCCCTTCACAATCTGCATTCACAATGCTTGAATTACAAATAGTTACCATTTTTGTCGTCACACAATGCTTCCATTTTATTCTCAAGCGATTAGGGTGCCCTTATTTTGTCTCACAAATAATGGTACATGTCTTTTTCTATTCTCATTTTTCCTGCTACTTTCAATTTCTCATTAATTTCTATAATCATTTGACTTTTGTTGAATACATTAGTTTCTTACGTATATAAACACGTCATTATCGGGGCATGAATCCACCAAACGCGCAATTGAATAAATAACTAATCCCATTCCTTGTAATAACAACATATGACAATCTCGACCCAAACTTTTAAGGAGATTAAAATATTCATTGCATTTTCCGAATTGTAGGAATTTTTACATTTTCTTACAGTTGTATAGTTTTTAAAAATTGATAAAAATAAATGACCGTTAGTTTTTTACAAAAGAATTAGTACCAACACAAGAGGTTTCATTGTTGTTTACTTGTATCTCATCTGTTTCTTCTCAATTACGCTGAACTTTAGTTGTAGCCATTGTTGCAAGTTACATACATTTCCCCAGATTTTATATGCTAGATGGGTACGAGTATATGATTTTTTTTAACCTTTTTCATTTTTCAACATGGTTGTAAACAAGTTGTCTTGAATGGATTAGCTTTGACCCTTGTAAACTTAAAAATTATAAAATAAAAAAAATAAAAAATCTATATTCTATCACCTTTTAATAATTAGCTTTTTTTTAATAAAAAAATTTATAAAAATGATCCTAATGAATATGAAACTTATGTTTCTATGCTTTTACTACTCAAATTTCTTTCTTCAATCACTAAACTAATCTTAATAGTAAATAATTAAGTTTTCTACCTTATTCTAAGTAAAAACAAGGTTAGAAAATTGATTGTAAGTGATTTCCTAAGAAAAATTGATTAATCAAGATGAATTTTTCTTTATCAATTATATATTAACAAAGTTTGCATCAAATTAAATGTATACATTAAAGAATTACAGCAATCATCTATGATATGTTAGGAGCATGAAGTAAGTAATTAAAGCCAAATTTGGATTTGTTTCAGGCTGGTTTTCTTCTAGGGCCATCAATTCCCACAGGACCATTGGAAAAGTACAAGCAGATGTTGTTTCCATTCGGGAGTCCAGACATCCTAAACACGGTGTCATCGTTGGGGTTCTCGTTCTTCCTCTTCCTAACTTCGGTGCAAATGGACCTAACCTTGATCATGAAAACGGGGAAGAAGGCATGGGTCATCGCAGGGTGCTCCTATTTCGTTCCCATATTTGTTGGCTTTGTCACCATGGGATTGTCAATGGATACGTGGAATAAATTCGTTGGAGAGGACGCCTTCACCACCTTGCCCATGGTCCTCATATCCCAAAGCGGTTGTTCCTTCGCCGTCGTCTCAAACCTTCTCAACGACGTCGGAATCCTCAACTCCGAACTCGGACGCCTCGCACTCTCCGCAGCTTTTGTCAACGATCTCGCTGGTATACTCAATATTTCTTAAAATGACACTATTATATATGGAATCCATATCAAGTTAATTAAAAACATGAGTTAGGTTATTTCATCCTAAAACAATAGATTTGAGTTTAATTTAACCCTATAAAATTAGCTTATAAGGTGAATGTTGTTTTTCACTTATATATATATATATTAAGTAATTAGTTGTTTTCCACTTATATATACTAAGTAATTATCTAATCTATAGTCGATGTGGGATTTTGATATTTACCAATACACCATCTCATGTACATCACTGTTGAACTTGATATGTAGATAAATAGTGGATGACCCTTTTTAATGATTTAAGATAAGTGACTTTTTTTAAGGAATTATGATAGTTCTGATACCATCTTAGAATAGTGGATTTGAGCGTAACTCAACTTTACATGACCAATTTATAAGGTGAATGTTGTTTTTCATTTATATATACTAAGTAATTATCTATTCTCTAGTTGACGTGAGATTTTGATTCTTACTAATATTTCATTGCAACAAAATATAAAAAAGTTTTCAAATCTTAAAGTATCAAACTCCTATACTTATCATTTGTAATGTTTAGCGCATTTGTTATGAAAAATCATTTTATTGAAATCTAGCTAATTAATTAAGAATGTTGCCGACATTTGTCTAATACTATGGTATACGTTTTTAATAGTATATATTTTTGAATTATTATACTAGTAAAGTATCATAGAATTTCTCTAAAAAATTGTTTGACTAACTTTTTCCTAGTATGGGATTTGCATTTTCAGCTGGAATTGGGGCTGGATTTGCCACATCGTATGTTAGCAGCATGCATTTGAGTCCATCTACCCGTATTACAAACATGGTGGCATTTTTTGTTTATTTAATCTGCGTTCCACTAGTTTGCCGTCCAGCGATGAAGTGGGTTGTGAAGAACACCCCAGAAGGAAAATCCGTGGATAAGATATACATCTATGTGATCATTATAGTGTTGTTGGGATTGGCGTACGCTGCGGATTTTTTCCACTTGCCCTTCTTATCAGCAGCTGTTATGTTCGGTCTTTCTGTCCCCGAAGGTCCTCCTTTGGGGTCTCAATTGGTTTGCCAACTCGAGTTGTTCTCTACGTGGTTCCTCACCTCAATTTTCGTCACTTGTTGTGTCATGAAGGTGGATCTTACCGAATTTCACTCTATCAAATACGTTTTTGGCATATCCTTCTTCGTTGTACTCGTCTACGTGGTGAAGATGATATTGTGCATGGGAATTTCCCACTACTGTAACATGCCCTTCTCGGATGGCTTATGCCTTGCTCTCATTTTGACCTCCAAGGGTGTTGTCGATCTCTGCTCCTATACCCTAATCTACGACATCATGGTAATTATTATTCCCAAACACCAAGGTTATTCTTTGTTTTATGTTGTTAAACTTAGGACATCTCCGATTAAAGTTTTTACTGGGTTCTTAGATATAAGAATCAATTATAGTATATTTTATCGGTGGAACAATTTGTTATGTCATTCATGGTGTAAGAACTGTTCTTATATATATATATATATATATATATATA